GACAGGGTTTCTCTGTGTAGCTTTGCGCCTTTCCTGGAACTCACTTGGTAGCCCAGGCTGGCCTTGAACTCACAAAGATCCGCCTGCCTCTGCCTCCCGAGTGCTGGGATTAAAGGCGTGTGCCACCACCACCCGGTGTTCAGCTTGCTTTTTGAGACAATGCCTTACCATGTAACCATGGCTGGCCTAGAACTCTCTAGGTAGACCAGGTTGGCCTCGAATTCAGTGCTTGTTTTGTGGGGGACAGGATCTCAGGTAGCCTAGATTGACCTCTGACTTTATGTAGCCAAGTATGACCTGGGACACCATCCGATGATCCTGCTGCCTCTACTTCGCAAGTGCTGGGATGATATACAGGGTGAGACGCTACAGCCTGAATCATTTTAATCCTGAAAGAAAGGGTGAGTTATTCCAGTATGTTTCTACTTTAATTATGAGGATGATCATCAGTTAAGGAAGCTTTTTTTTTCAAGACATGATTTCTTTATGCTACATCTGTGGCTGTCCAGGAACTTGATTTGTAGACCAGGCTGGCCTTGAACTCAGAGATCCTCCTGCCTGTCTCCCAAGTGCTGGGATTTTTTTTTATCTTTTTTTTTTTTGTTGTTTGTTTGGTTTTTTTTTTTTTTTTTTCCGAGACAGGGTTTCTCTGTGTAGCTTTACGCCTTTCCTGGAACTCACTTTGTAGACCAGTCTGGCCTTGAACTAACAGAGATTCGCCTGCCTCTGCCTCCCGAGGTCTGGGATTAAAGGCGTGCGTCACCACTGCCCAGTTTTTTCCCCTCCTTTATGTCAATGGCCTATATTAGAATGATTGATGCCATCTTTGAATTCTAGGAATAAATCTTACTTGGTCATTGTGCTGGCTAGTTTTATGTTAACTTGACACAAGATAGAGTCATCCGAAAGGAGGGAAACTCAATTGAGAAAATGCCTCCATATGATCCAGATGTATAAGCCCAGTTTAGTGGTGCATGCCTTTAACCCCAGCAGAAGCAGGCAGATCTCTGAGTTTGAGACCAGCCTGGTCTATAGGGTGAGTTCCAGGACAGCCAGGGCTGTACAGAGAAACCCTGTCTCAAAAAACAAAAATCAAACAGAAAAAGAAAGAAAGCTGTGCAGGCCATGAAGAGCGAGCCAGTAAGCAGCACCTCTCCATACCCTCTGTACCAACTCCTGCCTCCAGTCCCCTGCCCTGTTTGAGTTCCTGCCCTTACTTCCTTCAGTGATGGACTATGATGTGGAAATGTAAGTCCAATAAGCATTTTCCTCCCCAGCTTGTTTTTGGTCATTTGTTTCATCCCAGCAATAGTAACCCTGACTAAGGCAGTCATGGGTGTAGAATTGTTTCAATATGCTGCTGGGTTAGGTTTGCCATACACCAAGTGTTGTGGGACAAAAGTTCTCCTGGGGAGAGAGAACACACACACATCTGCTCACCCTAGATAAGGAACTCAGGGCAAACCAAAGTACAGATGCCACCACAGTCCAACCTGGTGAGCCAGTGAGTTTTACTGGGATTACTTAGAGGAATGTGGTTGAGGGGTTACTCACAGGAGCAGAAATGACTCACAGACAGCTGCATCACCAAGGCCCACCCCAGCACAGGTGACAGCTCACAAAGCTGGGAACCTGGGGCACACTGCACAGCCTGCAGGCAGCTCAGCAGGTTGGAGAGTGTCCTTTCCAGGTGCCTCAGCAGGTCTAGACCTCTTCCAGATAGTTCAGATGGTTTCTGCTTCCAGGCCTTGGTCTGCTCTCAGAGTTTTCTTCCCTGAGAATCTTTGCAGCTCAGCTCCTCTGAGAGGAACTCTCAGTTTTTTATTGTTTACTCTAGCAGGGAAGGACTTAGTGAGTCTGGTCAGTTTCAGGGGCTTCTTGAAACTATTTTGAGTGGTTTACTCTCCTGCTTAAAGTATCTAGACAGGATTTGTGTAGCCTTGGCTGTCTTGGAACTCACTCTGTAGACAAGGCTGGCCTCAAAGTCACAGAGATCCACCTGCCTCTGCCTTCCAAGTGCTGGGACCAAAGATGTGCACCACTGTTGCCAGGCATATGCATCCTTTCTTGTATATTGACAAGAAAGCTTATGGCTCCGTGGTAGAATTCCTGCATGCCTCAGGACCTGGATTTGAGACTGAGCATCGCCTTCCTCCACCCGCCCCTCCCCATCTCCCACCCACCAGAGTTCCTCAAGAAGAAGTATGCCAACAGAGACCAGTACACCAGATGTGGATGGCAGTAAGAAAAATGTTTAAATTAACCACCTGATGAAGAGACAGAGATGAAAAGAGCCCAAACTGATTTAAACTGTGAACTGTCTGGACAGGGGATCAGAAGGAAGCAATTGACCGAGAGACTGGGTCAGGGTAGATCAAGAGAGTCTGCATGCCCTGATGAGATTTGTTTTGAAAAACCCACTCTTGGATTGTGGAACTGCAGAAGGAATGAGAGGATTTGTGTTAGGAGGCCATGGTAGAAGTTAGGAGAAGAAATGGTGAGGGGGGCCAGTGAGATGACTCAGCAGGTAGGAAGGGGTTCTTGACACCAAAATTGAGGACCGGGGTTTGATACCTGGAACCCACATGGTGGGCGCAGAGAACCATCTCTAGCAAACAGTCCTCTGACCCCTACACATGCATACATGGGTGCACAAATGTAAATTAAAAAATTATCTTAAAAGGAAAGACAGGTAGGAGAGATAGTTCGGTTCCCAGCACCTACTTGGGGGGCTTAAGACCACCTGTAACTTCAGCTCCACGGAATCCGAGGCTTCTGGCCTCCGTAGGCACCTGCCGTCACGTGCATATACCCCCACCCACACATACACACGTAATTAAAAATGATAAAAATTTTTGTGGCTGGGCGGTGGTGGCCCACGCCTTTAATCCCAGCACTCGGGAGGCAGAGCCAGGCAGATCTCTGTGAGTTCGAGGCCAGCCTGGTCTACAGAGCTAGTTCCAGGAAAGGCGCAAAGCTACACAGAGAAACCCTGTCTCGAAAAACCAAAAAAAAAAAAAAATTTTTTTTTTAAAAGATAAAATGATGATGGACAGAAGTATGGCGCTATTGGAGGAAGAGAGAAGCAACTGTTAAGAGGTTCTGGGTGGCTAGAGGGAAATGCAGGGGACAAGGGCAGCCTCAGCTTGCTATCTGACAGCTCCTGGGTGAGTGGCCCTTCTCTGGAGGGAGAGGGAGGAGCACGCTCGAGGGGCAATGTGGTGGCTTGCGTGGAACTGCCCAAAAGACGTCGGATTGGACGCCGGGTGAGTCAGCGCTGACGAGCGAAGGTGGAGTCAGTCCCGTCCCGAACCCTGCTCCTTGCGAGCCAGCCCTTCGCTGGAAGGGACCCTGAAGGCTAACTTGGGGGACGCAGGCCCCACAACTGGCAGGAGCAGCCCGCAGGGCCCGGAACCTTCGGCCGCCGCCGCCCGCATTCGCGGCGGGACACGACCGGGGTACCCCTCCTCTGTTGCTAAGGGGCGGCCCGGAAGTGACGCTTTGTTGACAGCACACCGGCAGCCACAGGCTCTCCCAGCGGTCGGAGCAGGATCGGGGGGGAGGGGCTGGGCCCGGAGCCAGCAGCCGACGGCCCTCGGCGGCCCGAGGGCAAGGGAACGGCCTCCGTCCGGGGCTCCGGCCGCTGCATTCGCGCCCTGCCCCTCCCGCCGCCCCGGACCCGGACCGGATCCGACCTCCTGCGGCGCTCTGGCAGCGGATTCCCCAGGGCCGCAGCCTCTGCCTGTAAGCCTGCGAAGCATCCCGTCTCCCCGCTGAGGGCCGCCCTCTCCCAGGGTATGTCCTAGCTGCCGAGCCGAGAGATGTACCTGCATCCTCCTCTTCCCCCCGCCTCAGGGTCTAAGCATTGCCGCTGCGACTCCTTGCAGGTCCACCTCGGCCAGGGGTAGGAGGGCTCTTGTCGCCTCCCGCCCAGGTCTGAGGAACCTGCCTTGAAAACTGAGCTTTCTCCACAAGGAGAACGACGCTCGTTCGTGCAAGATGGGGGAATCAATGCAGGGCTTAGAAGGCCGGCCTCTGCCCCTCCTACCTGTTGGATGAGCTTAGGTCTCCTTCCAACCCCCAAGCCGTGCTACATAAAAGCTTAAGGATGGTTTGACTTCTGGATCGGCTCCCAAAATGGGGTGGCGCGGTGCAAGAGGGTGCAACAGGGTCGGGAAAGGGCGGGTGGGCTTGCAAACTGAAGACCAAGGGCGCCCATAGGTGACGTGAAAGTGGAGCTGGCTGGTCTGGCCAGCCCAGCTCTGGGTGGAACTTGGTTTGGCTGCTCTTTAACCAGAGTCAGAGATTTCCCGTGTTTGCTTGTGCCTTGTGAGAGAATATTAAGGGGGGCGAGGGGGTACCACCTAATGCCTGGGAAAAGCTGGCTCGATGATGTTTCTGACAGAATGCTTCTCTTTGGGTTTCGAGTTAGAGTGACCATGGAAGATAGCACTGAAAAGGGTCACAGGAAGCTATGTTTAGACCAAGAGGTGGCTGTCAGATGGAAGGGTCGTTACTATTACATGTGAAATAGTAATAGTGAGTGTCATGTAGAAAGGGAAAGCAGGAAGGACCATGGGGGACAGAGCCTTGGACCTCTTTATAGAAAGTGGTCAGGGAAGGTTTCTAATAAGGTTGCTGTCTGAGCAGAGATGAGTGAGGCAGGAAGTCATCCCAGCTTTCTGGGGGCGCAGCATCCAGCAGCAGGTGCAAAGGGCCTGAGGGGAACTTGCGGGGGTCAGAATGGAGGAGGGGGTCAGAATGGAGGAGTGGGTCAGAATGGAGGAGGCAGAGTGGGTGGTAAGGAAGTCAACTGGGAACAAAAAACAATAGGGAGCAAGTTAGGGGCTGCCTTGGGATGCAGGGTTGACTGTAATTGTTAAAATGTTGGAGAAAATGCAAATGTGTCTGAGGTGACAAGTGACCATTGTACTTTGGCCTTTTGTTCTGAGTGACCATCAGTGACAGAAATCTTTTAAAAGACAGCCCTGCAGGCAAGTCATTCACACTACTGTTTCCTGGTTCTAAGGATGTGAGCAAGTGACCTTGTGCCTCAGTCTTTCCGTCTGTAGAATAGGACTGCTAAGTTGGAGTGCGTGTGTGGCAGTGTGGTGGGGTAGGTGACAGTAGTACCGGCCACCACACAGCCCTGCGTTCTACCACCAACCAGTGTGGCCCTGCTCTGGCTGATTCCCCAGCTCATAGAATTTGTAGGAATACTGGAGGGGGCTATGTAGACTCTTATGACATCCCTCACTGGTAAAAGTAATGGTGTGTCCTCCAGGGAGGGCTGAGAACTTAGCCTTGGCTTTTTCTTTGTTTGTTTTCTTTCTTTCTTTCTTTTTTAATAATTTATTTATTTTTATTTTATGTGCATTGGTGTTTTGCCTGCATGTATGTCTGTCTGAGGGTCCCCTGGAACTGGAGTTACAGACAGTTGTGAGCTGCCCTGTGGGTGCTGGGAATTGAACCCAGGTCCTCTGGAAGAGCAGTCAGTGCTCTTAGCCGCTGAGCCATCTCTCCAGCCCCCTGTTTGTTTGTTTTCTTTTTCTTTTCTTTCTTTTTCTTTTCTTTTTTTTTTTAGGTAAGGTCTCCTGTAGCTAGGCTGACTCACTGTGTAGCCCAGACTGACCTTGGACTCACAGCAGCCCTCCTCAGCCTCCCAAGTGCTGGGATTGCAGACATGGGCCACCAACTCTAGCTGGTGGTCCTTACATTTTTATTTGTTTGTTCATTTTGAGGCATTTGCATGTAGACAAGGCCAGCCTCAAACTCACTCTGTAGACCAGGCTGGTCTTGAACTCAAAGAGATTCACCTGCCTCTGCCCCCTGAGGGCGGGGACAGTATGCTACACCATTCCTGACCCAATGAGGACTTTGGAAATCAAGCCCCAAGAGTCCCCATTCTGTCACATAACAAAATGACAGTGCTGTCTGTGACTTGTAGACTGGGAAGGATGGTGTTTGTTGGGCCGAGCTCTGGCATCGAGTGTGTGGCCAGGTTTCAGGCAGAGGCTGGGGATCCTGGAGGTACCTGGCACAGGCTGAAAATTTGCAGCCTTTGAGGAGAACAGCCCCAGACCTTTCTCCTCACCCCTTGAGCCTGACTACATCATCAGGCCTGGGTCATAGGCTGAGCAGTTGGACTTAAAAATGCAAGGGCAAGGGACAGAAGGTGTGGCTCTGTGATTGACTGCTTGCCTAGCATGCATAAACCGCTGGGGTCCATCCCAAGCACTACAAAAGTAAAATGTGAATGTGTAAGTTAGAGCACTTTGAAGACTGGAGCCTAAATGACAGAGAAAGTGTCTATGACCCGGGGAACCCCAAACTAGCTACCTGGTGAACCAGGGTCCAGCACAGGTCTGCCACCGCTTATTATATGTCCTTTCGGTGAATCCTTTGTTCCCACTGGACCTCGATTTTCCCATCTTTACCCTGAGAATGTTGTCTTCTTGCCCCGGCTGACTCTGGAGGGTGTGGGGGATGAAATGAGACATAGGATGGAGAAGGCTCAGTCCTTGGCTGACGCTCTGCAGCACTGAAGAGCACTTCCTGTTGGTGCCTCGGGGCTTCCGCAGGTGCAGCTGGCCCACCAGGCACCGGGGTGCTCTTTGCCTCCAGGTGTGTGTTTGTTTTTAACATTTACTGACTGAAGCACCACAGCACATGTGTGGAGGTCAGAGGACAATTTATGAGCATTGACTCTGTCTTTCCACCATGAAGGACCTGAGGTTCGAACTCGGGTTTTGAGCCTTGGCAGCCAGCACCACTTAACTACTGAGCCGTCCCACCGGCCTCTGCTTTCACTGTTTTTTGTTCAGCCTGGGTGCTTCAGCTGTTCTTGACCCCGAAAATGTGAGCTCAGAGACCCCTGTAGAGTCAGCTATTTGGGGATTAACATAAAACCTGGTTCCTTCACTGGTGCTGGTTTTCTGGCTTCAGAAGTGAACAAAGAGCTGGGGACATGGCTCAAACAGTGAAACTACTTGGCATGAGGACCTGAGTTCAATCCCCAGCACCCACACAAAACTGTATGGTGGTCTGGAGGTGGTGGCGCACACCTTTAATCTTAGCACTCGGGTGACAGAGGCAGGTGGATCACTGTGAGTTCAAGGCCAGCCTGGTCTACAGTGAGTTCCAGGACAGCCAGGGCTGCATAGAGAAACCCTGTCTCGGAAAAAACAAAAACCAAGCAGTATGGTGACGTGCACTTGTAATCCCAGAGATGGGGAGAGAGACAGGAGGGTCTCAGCTAGCCTGTCATTCACTTATTGTATAATGGAGGTCCTGTGACTCTACAGGGTCCCTACTTTTAGGAAGCTTCTAGTCCTGGCCCATGGTGCCCATGGAATCGCTACCACAAAACCAGATCATCAGTGGTCATTAGGCAAGGATGCATGGAGTTGAAAGAATGTAATGATGGCACAGAAGGGAAACTGAGGCTTGCATAAGACATCATGGGTGACCCCACTGAGAAGATAGCTGGAAAGGTTAAAACCCTCGGGCTTGCCCTGATGAGTGGAGAGCACGGGTCTATGTATCTACACAGCGGCTGTGCAGACTCCTTGGCACGCAGCCTCAGCTGCCATACCTGCAGGCTGTAGATAGGACCCTGCCTCCTGTGCCCATGGGGAGCTGGCGCCTAGCGAGTGCTGAGCAGCATGGGCATTAGTAAGTTTGCTCACACAAACAGAACCCAAGCAGTGTGGCTCTCAGCTTGCCCCAGTCCCCCCCCCCCCCATTTGTTCATTGTTCCTTAGGAAGAGAGATACCAGCAGCCTAGTGGGATGTGCTTGCCTCCCTCGCTCGGTGTCTTCCCAGGATTTAGTCTCTGTAGACACCCATCTCCAGTCCTCACCTGTGCCTCTGTCCGCTAGAGTTCCCCCAGCACTTGTCTGGACTATTGTCCCAGCAGCTTTCTGTCCCTAATCCCTAGCCCAGGATCCATCCTTCCTGGAAAGCATTCAGCTGTAAGTAGGGCATTTGTCTGGGGAGCTTACGGGTTAACATTTCACAGGGTGGGTGCCGCTCCAAGGTTCGGATCTTCTGGCTCCCCAGACTCTGTTCTCTAGGTGTCAGGGTGTTTGCTGCTGGGGTCCCTTGCTCCTTCCTCTGAACATTGGTCACTCTATTTCTCTAGCTGGTTGCTGGATGAATGGAAGAGAGTGATTGGTGGGTTTAGATTTTACACCCTTACCCAAAGTCAGTGGCTATCTCAGGCTACTTTTGTGTTAGTTGTGGGCCTCTCAGTGTCTTCATCAGCAAATGACTAGCAGCAGTCTCTACCTCAGAGTACCATCGTGAGGTAATCCTGGCAACAGCAAACCTTTGTTCCGCCTAAATGCCAGGCACTAGTAGGCACCAAGGATGTAGGCGTGGGTGCAAGCCGCCAGTCGGTCCTTCCGAGCTGGCAGCTGGGGGGAGGGTCATAGACAAATTGTTATGCAAATGAATAGCTCTCTATTGGTACAGGGTACTGGGCTGTGATGTTTGGCTGGTTAAATAGGAAACTGTAGGAAGTCAGTGCTGGAAGGAGCTGGGTATCCGTCTGGAAGCGCCCAGCATGGAGATGGTGCAGCGGGGGCGGCTGCCTGGGCTGCTGTTGTTTTTCTCCATCTTTTCTCCCTGTATGTCCTAAAGAGCCTGTAAGAAAAGAGACACGGGGTTCTCCTCCTCTGGTAGTCATCAGTATCAGAGTCCCCACTTGCCAGAACTCCAGATGGCTGGAACCTGTCGTGAGAATGGAGATCTTAAGGCTCCAAGGGGTGGAGGGTAGGGTGTTCTGAGCCCTCCAGGCTTTGGTGCCAGAGGGCTGCTCCTTCCTCCTCAGCTCACCTGGGACACCCTCCCCCGCCTCCTTCCGCCCCACCGCTGCAGGGTCAGTTCCTCGAGGAGGTGACCACAGGTGGCAGCATCCACCCAGTGTGTTCTCTGGAGGCCTTCGATGGCCTGGGCAACTGGTATTGTGGCATCCCTTCAACGTGTGCAGCCCAGTTAGAGCAGGGGAGGTAGCTCTCTCCCGGGCAGCCACAGGTCCTGCTGTGGCCCGTGGGGATTCAGCAGTGTTCTGGAGACAGGGACTCAGGCTCAGCCTCATGAGACTCAGATCCTGCAGTCCTTTGTGGCTCGTGCCATGGCATTTGTTAACACTTCCCTTCCCTCAGGCCCTGCCCTGGGAGTTCAGTACCCCGGGGTCTCCGATAAATGTCAAGCCTGCCCTGACACCGCAGCTCAGAGTGGACACAGGCCCTTCCCCGTCTGTCAGAGCTCTGGCCCAGTGATGTGACTGTATCTGTGTTCTTCTTAGGTGGCTGTCTCCTCATAGTGCCAGGATGTTTCCTACAGGCAGGGCCTTGTCTGGCTTGCTCAGTAGAGGACCTGTGCCCTCAGGAGTTCATGGCCAGGTTCACAGTTACAGGGAAGCACTGCAGAAACAGACAGCCTGCAGGTGGTGCTGGGCACGCCGTTAGTCCCAGCACTCGGGAGGCAGAGGCAGGTGGATCTCTGTGAGTTCGAGACCAGCCTGGTCTGCAAGTTCTAGGGCAGCCAGGGCTACACAGAGAAACCCTGTCTAGAAAAACCAAAAATCTTAAAAAAAAAAGAAAGAAAGAGAGAGAGAAGAGAAGAGAAAAAAGAAGGAAACATATCTATCTGTCCTCTGTCTACCATGGAAGCAGGAGGAGTAAACTAGAACCTGGATTGAGGTCATGGGACCCTGGACTGAGTCAGGAACATGCTGACAGGACAGCGATGCCTCTCGGACACTGGGGTGGTGGGGTGGGCCCATAAGAGAACTCGGTGCGCTGAGTGGCCAGGAGCTGCTGTGTAGAGGCAGGACATGAGTGGGGATGGACAGCTGTAGGGACTCTCGGGGTAAAGGAAATCATTGGTTGAAGCTGGACAGTCCCAGTAGACAGAAGGAACTAGGTGTGGGGCTGCAGGTGACTAGGCCTAGGGCCTCGGGCCATCAGTGGAGGAGGTAGGCTGGGGGGTCACTGAACTGAGGAGGCCAGAAACCGGGTCCCGAGCAGGCCTGGCCTCCTTCCCCAGTGCCGGCAGGGAGAAGGCCAGGCTGTCATCCCGGCAGGCCTGCCAGGGAGGGAGGGCGTGCCGAGGTCCAGGCAACCCCACCATTGGGCCGTCCCCGGGGAGTGTTACATTGGCACTGGGCCTGCTGGGCATGGGCCTCGTGGGAGGCCTGGGTCTAGGAAGAACAGACTCTGCTTGGCATAGAAGTGAGAGCCGCTTGGCAGAAGGTGGCAGTGAGAGTCTCGAGCGCCGTCTTTAAAGAAAAAAAGAAAAGGAAAAGTAACAGGGCCTCAGAGATGGCTCTGCGGTTCAAAGCGCGTGCTCCTCCTGGGTGAGGGAGAGGGCTCGGCAGTTGAGAGAGCATTGTTGGAGTCCCAGCACCCACATGGCAGCTCACAACCATCCATAACTCCAGTTCCAGGGCATCCAGTGCCCTCTTCTGACCTCCAGGGGCACCAGGCATGCAGGTGGTACACAGACATACATGCAAGCAAAACACTTATGTATCTAAAAGAATATAAATAAATCTAAGAAAAAAAAAACTGATTTATTTTAAAAAAAAAAAAGTGCATGCTCTTCTTACAGAGACCTGAATTCAGTCCCGAGCACGTGCATCAAGCCGCTCTCAGGGGCCTGTGACTCCAGCTGGGGGCGCTGTCCTCTTCTTCTGGCCTCCACGAGCACCTGTACTCATGCACGCAGGCCCGCCCGCCCGCCCTCCACACTCGGTATACGTAAGTTTACATCAGGGGTGGGCATAGTGGCACCTGCCTTTAATCCCAACAGGGCCGGGAAGACCTCTGTGAGCTCGCGGCCATCCTGGTTTACCTAGAGAGCTCCAGGCCAATCAGGTCTACAAAGTGAGATCCTGTCTATAAAAGAAAATGAAGTAAATCTGAAAAGCAGCAACGGCCAAAGAATAGCTGATTTTTAATTTTTTCCCACTGAAGATGGAACCTGGTGTCTCACACATGCTAGACAAGTGTTCTACCACTGAGCTGCCCCACACTTTTTATTTTATTAATACAGGGCTTCGCTAAGTTGCTCAGGCTGGTCCTGAACTTGTGGTCCTCCTGCCTCAGCCTCCCCAGTGCAGGCAATGTTGCCTCTGGCTCCATGGCCTGAGTATCTTAGAAGGCTCAGGAGTGGACACAGGGTGCCCAGAAGCTGGGCAATGCTTAGCCCACACCCCTTTGGAACTTTCCTCCTAGGGCAGTGGTTCTTAACCTTTCTAATGCTGGGACCCTTTAATACAGTCCCTCTTGTTGTGGTGACCCCCAACCATAAAATTATTTCCGTTGCTACTTCATAACTGTAATTTTGCTACTGCTATGTAACGTAATATAAATATCTGTGTTGACAGATGGTCTTAAGTGACCCCTGTGAAAGGGTCATTCGACCCCCAAAGGGGTCATGATTACTGGTTGAGAACCACTGCTCTCAGGGATGATGTGACGGAGCCAAGGAGCCCCGTTTGTACAGAGTGGCCTTGAGTCTCGGAGCTTGAGTTTCCTTATCTGTCAGACATAACAGAGCCTCGTTTGCTGTGTGTGTGTGTGCTGTGGGAAGCATTTCCCAGCACTATCTCCTCAGCTCCTCCAGCCCTGGCACGAGAATTATCGTCCTCACCTTTCTACATGAGGACACTGTGATCTGGAGAGGTGACATTGTTTCCCAGTGAATTACAGAATGAAGTCGGCCACAGAACCTCTACTTTTGGGGGGAATGTCAGAGATTGAGCCCAGAGCCTCATATATAGTAAGCATGGCCTCTATCTACCACTGCGCTCCATCTCAAAACACTGAGACTTGTCTGAAGGTCAGTATCCACAGGGAATTGATTCCCTGGGTTGGAACCCCATCTGTGGAGGCTCAGGTTGTCTACGTACATAGTGTAGTAGTCCTTGCACAGAGCCCATACCTCACACAGTGAAGTAACACAGCTTCTCTGAGGAGTTGTACAGACTCTGAACCCCTGTGCCATCTCTCCAGCCATAGAACTGCCTCTTGTTCACCTGAGTATAATATGAAGGTTCAGTCTGCCGTCACTGCAGCCGGCATTGGTACTGTACGAGCTGGCTTATCATCGGGATTCATCCAGATCTCCTTCCATTGGTGCCAATCCTGTTTTTGTTTTTTGTTTGAGACAAGATCTCTCTTTATAGCCCTGGCTGTCCTGGATCTCACTCTGTAGACCAGGCTGGCCTCGAACTCACAGAAACCCTCCTGCCTCTGCCTCCTGTGTGCTGGGACTAAAGGTGTGCACCACCCCACCTGGCTGGTGCCAACCATTTTTAATCTCTTTACTGAATTCTGTGAATGTTCACAATGAAGACACCTGTGGGTCCACTCAGAGGAATGACCCAAAGCCCACCCAAACCAAAAACTTCCTTTCAGGGGCACATCCCTACACACACGTCCTTGCCAAGGAGATAGTCCCACCCCAGGGCAGGCCTCCTTGTGTGCTAGTTGAAGGGAATGCTCCGGAAACAAATGCAATGGCCTCCTGTTGGACTCCTTCCTTGTCACACTGTGAAGGTCATCCCAGTCGTTGATTGAATTCTCACTGCAGTGTGGTGATTAAACAATAAATAGGCTGTAATTATCCATTGCCATGTCACTGGACACTCAAGGGGGCCATCACATAGAATATTGCTGTAAGCCAGGCAGTGGTGGCACACATCTTTAATCCCAGCACTCGGGAAGCAGAGGCAGGCGGATCTCTGAGTTCCTGGTCTACAGAGCCAGTTCCAGGACATCCAGGGCTGCATGAAGAAACTCTGTCTTGTAAAACAACAACAAATATACTGCTGTGAACATTTAGTGTAGCTTTTTAAAGTTTTGTTTATTATTAGGTATTGTATGAGAATGTGGGTGTGCACCTGCCACAGTCCCTGTGTGGAGATCAGAGGGCAACTTCTGGAAGTCTGTTGTCTCTTCTGTGGGTCCTGGGGTTTGAACTCAGGTCCTCAGGCTTGCATGCCAAGTACCTTTACCCACAAGCCATCTCACTGGCCTAGTTTCACATTTGCATATGTACCTCTGTTGGGTGTATTCCTGAAGGCAGACTTGCTGAACCTTGAAAGCACATTCCTACTCAGCATCAGTCAATATTAACTATCTCCCAGTTCACACCACTTCTCACTCCCACCAGCAGTTCCATATCTTCGCCAGTGCTTGGTGTCCGCAGCTGAGCTGGCTGGCAGTGGAAATGGCATCTCATTGTGGGTTGGTGTGCACTTCCCTGATACTGATGGAGCAAGCTGAGCGCCCTTCAGGAGGCGGTCCTCTTTAAGGAGGTGCCTGCTGGGGTCTTCTGCCCCCTTTACACTGGTAAAGCACATGATAGCTCTCTCCTTACTGGTCTGTAAATGTTGCCTATGTATTTTGAATGTGTGGGACTGAAGGTGTGCACCACCATGCCGGGCTGGTGCCAACCATTTTTAATCTCTGTTGAATTACAGCATACATGTGAATGTTCACAGCGTAGACAGCTGTGGGTCCACTCAGGAAGGACCAGCTTTGCGTTTGTAGTCTGTGCCTCCCTCCTCCTCCTCCTCCTCCTCCTCCTCCTCCTACTCCCACTCCCTTCCCTCCCCTCACCTGAATCTCCATTAGGTTGTCTAGGCTTGAATTGAGCTTCGTGATCTTCTCTACCTTCGTTTCCTCCCAAGTGCTGGGATTGCTGGCACATTGCTAAGCCCAGTCTATCGGCGTCCATCTTTCTGTGAAACAGACTTACTGTTATGTCATAAAGTACCCTGTACCCTGTACTTTACTTTAGGCTTGTGGTGTTTTTGGAATTGGCTTTTGTGTGTGTGTGTGTGTGTGTGTGTGAACAGAAGTTTCTTCACTCCAGTGCATACCAGTTTAACCTTTTCTCTCTTATGGTTGGCATTTTTAAGGCCTGTTAAGAAATGATCTTAGGGGAGGGGCTGGAGAACTGGCCAGTGGTTAAGAACACTTGTCTGCTCTTGCAGAGGACCTGGGTTTGGTTCCCCACACCCACATGGCAGCTCACAACCATCTGTAATTCCAGATCTAGGAGATCCGATTTCTTTTCTGAGCTCCGTGGGGACTGCATGCCCCTGGAGCTAGAATTCTGGTCAATTGTGAGCTACCATGTAGGTTCTGGGAATTGAAGCCAGGACCTTTGCAAGAGCAGTAGATGATGTTCTTAACCACCAAGCCATCTCTCCAGCCCTTAAGACTTCACTTTATAGCGTGACATTTGAGTGTGATTCACAGGTCACGTATTGCGGCCATTTCAAGTGTCCAGTTCTGTGGCTTGTAGTGTGCTCACAGTGTGCAGCCATCACTGTCATCACGCCCGTCTCCCCAGACGAGAGTCTCCAGGTCTGTGGAGTTGCCCTTTGCGGCTGCACATCCCATGGACTGGGTTGTGACCTTCATAATTGGTTTCTTCGGTTAGCATGGCCCAGTGTTATATGGGTACCTTTGTGACCGGATAACATTCAGCTTTTGTTGTGAGTCAGGGACTAGCTATAGCTCAGGCTGGTCTGGAACTCTTGATCCTCCTGGTCTGTCTCTCAAGTGCTGGGTCACAGGCTCACAGCCTTTTCGGTGGTCATTTGAATGTGCTGGATGGGGCGTCGCTTTCCCCACACAGAGCAGACACAGGCTTTTATCTGCAGCTCACTTGGCCTCTCTCCTCTCCTTCCCAGGCTGTGGCTCTGCCAATGATCTTGTGAGAGTTGGGAACGCCTAGTCGCCCGAGAGCGGCCACCTGCCTTCCCCCAGCATGGCGTCCGACACGCCCGAGTCCCTGATGGCCCTCTGTACCGACTTCTGTCTCCGGAATCTTGATGGCACCCTGGGCTACCTGCTGGACAAGGAGACCCTGCGGCTGCATCCAGACATCTTCTTGCCCAGCGAAATCTGTGACCAGCTGGTCAATGAGTGAGCAAGGGACTCCCCAGGACTGGGGCAGGGTTGGAGCCAAATGTGGGGGATGAAGTGTGAGCTAAAGATGAAGACTGTGTGTTCAGACCCCCACAAGGGGAAGTGGCTATGAGTGTGACATTGAGGGACAATAATGATACGTTTATGTTACCATAGAGATATGGTTGCATATGCATTGATGTGTGTGTACTTGAAGGAATGGGTATATATACATGCAGGATTATGCAGCACAGAACATGTGTGTGAAGCAGCATGTGTGTGTTTAGGAATGAATTAGTATAAAATCCCGCATGTAAATCAGGGCATTGTGTGCTACCCTGTGTGTGTGCTCACACCTGTGCTGCACTTCTGAACTAAGAACACATGGATAAGTGTGTTTACATGTGTACCAAAACCAGAACAACAGAGGCTGTATCACCCAGATGATCTCTATGCAGCCTCCTGGCAGACCCTCCACTGCATTGGGTGCCTGCGGCACAAGGTGTATACACACGCCCTGAGCGCTGGGGTATACCAGTTATCCCAAAGGGAAACCATTAGATCACATGGGAACTGAGGACTGAGCTCGGAATGGTGTTCTGGGCACTCAGTGTGGGCCAGGCGTGATGCTGAACACTTTCTCCCATTATGAAGAGATTGACATCTAGGTCGTGTGAGCTTCCCAGCTGGGAGCAGTTGAGCCAATCGGTTTCTCTGTATCACCTCTTCTAGCCTGGAACTCACTCTGTGGAGCAGGCTGGGCTCAAACTCAGAGATCCGCCTGCCTCTGCCTCCCGAGTCCTGGGATTAAAGGTGTGCCATACCATGCCTGGTTCTTTTCTTTTTTTAAGGGGCCACCATGTAGGCGCTGGAAACTGAATACCAGTCCTCTGCAAGAACAAGTACTCTTTTTTTTTCTAAACTTTTATTCTTCTCTCATACATTACATCCTGACCTCAGTTTCCCCTCCCTCTACTCCTCCCAGTCCCTGAGAACAAGTGCTCTTAACAGCTGAGCCATCTCCCTGAGCCCCTAGTCCGGGATCCGTGCATACACAGGTGTCGTGGCTAGGTGGGGTCACACTGAAGGCTCACTGTCGGCCTAGCTAGCGTAAGCTCAGAACCATTTTACTTCATTTTAATTTGCCTGCCCTGCAAGGGGCTGCTGAGATGCCAGAGGCTACAAGGGAAGGTGTGTCTGGACCATGGCGGGACTGTGGCTAAGGTAGTGAGTGCAGTCTGGGGTGATAGGCGGGCTGTGAAGAGGAGGCACCCGTGCGGTGTGTGCTGTGTGTGTGTGTGTGTGTGTGTGTGTGTGTGTGTGTGTGTGTGCAGGTTCGTGTTTAGGCTGCTGAAGGGAAGTGCTTAGGACTTGCTGTGGACGATAAGAGGCCCCTTGTGTCACACGTGGTCACCCTGAGGCCCGCCTTTGGATTCTGTCTCCTGAAGCATATGGTGTAGTCAGAATCTGAGCAGGTGCTGTGAAGAGAGGACCGGAAGCTGGCTGTTGCTCGGGTGATGTGGCCCCAGAAGGCGGCCCAGGCGCGTGCGTAGGCACTCCCTGACCTGGGCTTGCCTCTCTCCCAGGTATGTGGAGCTGGTCAGTGCTGCCTGCACCTTTGAGCCCCACGAGACCTTCTTCAGCCTCTTCTCAGACCCCCGCAGCACTCGCCTCACCCGGATCCACCTCCGCGAGGACCTGGTGCAGGACCAGGACCTGGAGGCCATTCGCAAGCAGGTGAGGCCGCTCTCGCTGCGGTGCGGACCCCGCCCGTCCATCCCCAGAAGCCAGGCCTGGGGTGGCACAGGGTGGGCAGAGGAGCTGAGGCTGCTGTGCCCCTCCAGGACCTGGTGGAGCTGTACCTGACCAACTGCGAGAAGCTGTCGGCCAAGAGCCTGCAGACGCTTCGGAGCTTCAGCCACAGTCTGGTGTCCTTGAGCCTCTTCGGCTGTGCCAACATCTTCTATGAGGAGGACAACCCCGGGGGCTGTGAGGACGAGTGTCTCGTCAACCCCACCTGCCAGGTGCTGGTCAAGGACTTCACCTTCGAAGGCTTCAGCCGCCTGCGCTTCCTCAACCTGGGCCGCATGATAGACGGTGTCCCGGTGGAGTCTCTGCTTCGGCCGCTCACCTCACTGGCTGCCTTGGACCTCTCAGGCATCCAGACGAGCGACGCCACCTTCCTGACACAGTGGAAGGACAGTCTGATGTCCCTTGTGCTCTATAACATGGACCTTTCAGATGACCACATCCGCGTCATCGCCCAGCTGCACAAGCTTCGGTGAGCCGTGCCGTCACCAGGAGGGGGAGGACAGGGCGGGAGGGAGGTGTGGGAGAGAGGGAGCCCTTGCACCGAGGAGCACAGGGGGAGAGCCCACTCCTTAGACCACATATTCTGGCTGGATCTCGAGGGCGATTTAAGGCACCTACGTCCCAGCTGACGTAGAATTCCCTGGAGAAGCTGTGCCAGGCGTGGGCCCTGCCCTGCTGTGACTTGAAGGAGTCAGATCCTGACCTGCGGCCCCTCCCTGACCTGCAGCCACCTGGACATCTCCCGAGACCGCCTCTCCAGCTACTACAAGTTCAAGCTGACTCGGAAGGTGCTCAGCCTCTTGGTGCAGAAGCTGGGGAACCTGATGTCCTTGGACATCTCTGGCCACATGATCCTAGAGAACTGTAGCATCTCCAAGATGGATGAGGAGGCAGGACAGATCAGGTGGGTACCTGGCTATGGCTGCTGGGAGGGTGTCATTCACCAAGCCCTGGCTAAGCACCCTGTGCTGGGTACTAGAGATAAGAAACAAGTCTGTAGGGGATTTAGCTCAGTGGTAGAGCGCTTGCCTAGTAAGCACAAGGTCCTGGGTTTGGTCCTCGGCTCCAGGATAGGGGGTGGGGAATGGGGGGGGGGGAGAAGCAAGTCTGTGAGTCCAGCATGATAATGCACAACTTTAATCCCAGTACACAGAGACAGGGCAGGCTTCTCTCTGTGAATTCAAGGCCAGCCAGGGCTACATAGTTTCAAAAAGGGGCTGGGGTGGCTAGAGAGATGGCTCAGCAGTTTATAGCATTTGTTGCTTTTCCAGAGGACCTGGGTTTGAGCCCCAGCACCCACATGACTGCCTATAACCGTCTACTTCCAAGGGACCTGTCATGCTCTTCTGGCCTCTGCAGACACCAGGCACACACATAGAGTACAACATATATGCAGGCAAAATACCCATACCCATAAAATTAAAATAAAGAACCAATCACTTTAAAAAGTCAAGGGCCAGCAAGACAGCTCAGCAGGCAGACGTGACGACACCAAAGCTGACGACCTGAGTTCTGTCCCTAAACTGCCCGCTGATTTCTGCAGGAGTGTGAGCGTGCGAGCGTGTACAAGCACACACGCACGCGTTGAGTAAATTAGCATAAATAAATCAAGAAGCAAGTCAGGCCTTGCTCATGTGACCTGTGTGAGCTGGTGGGGATGGAAAAGTCGTTCTTAGGGCACACATTCGGGGTGCCCTCAGCCATTCTGAGTCTGTTGAACAGATCCCACTGCAGCAGGGGATCAGCATGTGCAAGGCTTGGGGGCCACAGGGAGTGTACCTGGGCAGCGAGCAGCCGGGGCACGATGGGGTTGCCGGGCTGATGTGTGCCTCTGGATTGGTGGTGAGATCTCATTCCAGCCCAGCCACTGTGATTGGCCTCATGGCCTCCATCAGCCACATTTAGTGGCATGTGGCAGAGGAGCTTATCTTTGATTGTTAGTGAAATGTGTCCCTGTTAGCCTGGCAGGTGATACCTCTCAAAGGTGGCCGTGGGAGCAGTTCCTGTCTCGTGTTCTTTACACTGTGCCCTTCCCACCCTTCCATCAAGAAGTGGGGGCTGGGAACGTAGCTCAGGTGGTAGAGTGTTCGCCTACCATGTACAAAGCCTTGGGCTCCATCCCCGACACAGCGTAGAACAGGCATGGAAGCATGTGCCTGTAATCCCAGCACTTGGGAGGTGAGAGGAGGAGGAGCAGGAGTTCAAGACCACTCTTAGCTACCAGGGACTTGGGCAGGGACAGGATGAAGCTAGAAGCCCTTGCTTCTCCATCAATGAAATGCCTAGTCTGTGGGGGAGCCCGGGCTAGGTCCAGCCAGGTTGCCAACTCTGGCATGCTCTTTTCCCAGCACCGAGCCTTCCAAGAGCAGCATCATGCCTTTCCGGGCTCTCAGGAGGCCACTGCAGTTCCTGGGACTCTTTGAGACCTCCCTGTGCCGCCTCACACACATTCCAGCCTACAAAGTAAGAGGCGGGGTGTGGGAGGAAGGAGGTGGCCGGGTACTGGAGCGCCACTGAGCCTGGGGATCCCGCTCCCCGGCCCCTTGTGGGTTGTCCTGAACATGTTCCGTCACTAGGTCAGCGGTGACAAAAATGAGGAGCAGGTGCTGAACGCCATCGAGGCCTACACAGAACACCGGCCTGAGGTCACTTCCAGGGCCATCAACCTGCTCTTTGACATTGCACGCATTGAACGCTGCAACCAGCTTCTGCGGGCCCTGAAGGTCAGCTCCGACCCGGGGTCTCCAGGCCCCCAGATCACCCTGCCCTCTCCTCTGTCCCTCTGCACCCACTGCTGATCCAGGGAAGAAGTAGGCAGCCTTGCCTCGCAAGCTTCCACCCCGTTGGCAGTGCCTGGCTCCCCTGCCTACTTCCTGCCCTCCCCGCATCTGCCCAGGAGAGCAGGGCTAGGGTCAGCCTTTCCCCAGAGGAGCCATAGTGACTCAGAGCCCAGGCTGTCCTTGCCTGCCTCTGGCAGCACTTCCAGCCCCCGCCCCCGCCCTGTCTTCACACAGCTGGTCATCACAGCCCTCAAGTGCCACAAGTACGACAAGAACATTCAGGTGACAGGCAGCGCTGCCCTCTTCTACCTGACCAACTCCGAGTACCGCTCGGAGCAGAGCGTCAAGCTGCGCCGGCAGGTCATCCAGGTGGTGCTGAATGGCATGGAGTCCTACCAGGAGGTGACGGTGAGCCCCCTGCCTACTGTGGCCTGCATGCTTTGGCCCAGGAACCCTTCCTGCCTCCCAGGGCCCCAGACACGCGTGTCCCCCGGGCTCGCCTGGACTTAGGTGGCCTTCGTCAATTCCCCTTGCATAGCCACTGTCCCAGAAACCTGTCTCTAGCCTCCAATGCCACTCGCTCACTGCCATGGCCACCCCACCTCTGCCCTCTGAGTCCCAGATGTGCCTTCTCCTCTGCCCCTCTGTCCCTATCACTGTTGGGAAGGTTGTCTCTAATACCCGTGTTTTAATTATAGTAAAAGAACATTTACCATAGAACAGTTACAGATACAAAGATGTGAACTCCACCTAAAACCCCGCCACACTTAGAGCCTTTCACTGACACCCCTTATTCTGACTTTTAGCCTGTGCAGGGGAGTTTAGTAAATGGGCCGGTCACCTGCACCATGCTTCATGTTGTTGATGTAATGTGGATGTTTGCTTCTGTGGGTGAGAATGTGCAGACAATTTTTTTTAGTTGTTATTATTAACATTCATTGGTGTTTAGGGTGCGTGTATGTCTGTGTGAGGGTGTCAGAAGTCCTGGAACTGGAATTACAGACAGGTGTGAGCTGCCATGTGGGTGCTGGGAATTGAACTCAGGTCCTCTGGGAAAGCAGCCAGTGTTCTTAACCACTGAGCCATCTCTCCATCCCCACAAATAATTTCTGCTTTGACGACTTGGCTTAGACAAAAGGGAGAGAAAGCGGAATCAGGCATGCTGGCTCTTGCTTGTGATGGTGGCCTCAGGAGGCTGAGGGGAGAATTGAGGTCTGGGCTACAGAGTAAAACCCTGCCTCAGAAAGAAAATCACTGGACATCCCAGCACTCAGGAGGCAGAGGCAGGTGGATCTCTGTGAGTTTCAAAACAAGTTTCAGGATGGCCAGGACTACACAGAGAGACCCTGTCTCAGAAAAAGAAGGAAGGAAG